CAAGCATCCCTCTTCCCCAGCACCTTCTGCATCCCCAAGCCTCCGTTTCCTCTGTCGCTGATGTATTCTCCCTCTCAAACCCAATTTCCTCTTTCTCACTCTCTCTTTGCCTCCACTCTGCACATCTCCTGGGAGCTTCAAAACTGCGTAGCAGAAAACCACCACACCTCTATTTGGTATCTTTATTTCTCTCTTTCTCCCCACCCTCTTCTTCTGCTAAATACCCAACCCCATCTATAAAACATGGAACAGGCAATAGATTCACTTTGAGCAAAAAGGCAGAAGTGAAAAACGTAGGAAAGATAATATTGACAAGGCTTTGAGCAGCAAACTGCAGCTCTGTGTTTCACAGCGTTTACTGCCTTCCTGGGTCCTACTATGAGCTGGCAGCAGTATAGACTTTGTATCTGTGTTCAGCAAATACAGGCCCTTAACAGCTGTGCCACCCGACAGCTATATAATCACACAATTATGAAGGTATTACCACAGCGAAATTGGCCATAAAATGAAACAATATGGCACCCAGATGATCAGGGGCAGGTCCAGTCATTCGATGCAGGGATGGGCTGGGGCAAATGTTCCCTAAACCCCACCCAGTGTCCTTCCAAGGAGATCATTGTTACATGCGCAGGGCCGCAACTAAGGATCATTTTCAATGCATTGATTATCTTATTGGTTTATAAAATGTCTGATATTTGCACTTATAGTTTCCTAAAGCCCAGGGTGATGTCTTAGAACATCTTGTTTTGTCTGACTATCAAAACTCAACAAATATTCTGTTCATTGGACACAAAACCAAAAAGCAGCACATTTTCATGAAAAAGATTTTTTTTTCAAAGCACTTCATAGCAAGGTGCCTATAACATTCCTGCTAAACAATTTATTGATTGTTGAACCAATCCTTTAATCTCCAGCTCAGTTAATTGAAAGTGCGTACAATAGCTGTGTGAAACATCCAGAATCTGCTGTTTAAAACACCTGAAGATCTACATTTGCCAAACTAGGTTCCAGATGTCACAAGTGATGAGAACATTACTTGGTATGCCACCGTCACTGGATTGATATCACCTCTTCCTCAGACTCGTTTTAAAGAGCAATGGTCATCTGGACCAGTAATCGGAGTTAGTGCGCTGCATTGATCGATGGGACTCAGCGATAAATCAGCATGAGTGATATGCCCAGGAGCCTTTTGAGTTTTATGCACGAGGGGCCATAACGACATTTGTGATGCAGATGTTAAGTAGAGAAATGTAGCTGGATTTGGACAAGACTAGTTTCTTGAAATTGATGGTGCAAGAGGCTGAGAAGCTTGTGTCTCTGTACACAAAGGAATTGATTTTTAGGGACCAGCTGAAGGACCACACCTTATTGGGTGTGACAAGTGTACGTGATAAGGATCAGGAAGTGCTCAGGGGCCTTAATGCACATGGGAGTGGTTCTGACCATGAGTTTGTTTCTGGGATAGTCGATACATGTAGTTACATCCTTAGGAATTAAATGAAATTCCCATAAACAAAGGTGTACTCGTCTTGCCTTTAGTCCTTAATTTAATGATGTGTATTGCCCCTTAGGTGTTTTTGCTCCTGTTTCAGAAGTGTGAAAAAGTAGATAAAAAATACCAAAGTGATTCTAAAAATATTAAGCACTGCTGTGTTTCTTTATAGCCGACATGAACTCGACGACCTGCCGGTGCTGACTGGCAGGTTGACTGCTCTCCCCCTGAGTGTCTGTGCTCCTGCCCATCCCATTCTGTCTGTCCACGCCTGAAATCATGGAGGAGAGAAGGGGAGACAGAGGAGGCAGAGGAGGAGTAGGAGGAGGAGAGGGGAATAAATATACCAGTCAGGGTTTACTTGCCCCTCAGCGCAGACACCATGCAGGACCCTTTACCGCTGTCTGTCTGCATGCCCCTCCATTCATCACACGCCTAGTCAACCATAAAACAAACAGTCCATCCCCTAGACTGGCGAGCACATCGCACTTTTCATACACACCCCTTGAAGCAAGCACACTTTCCTTAATGTCAGATGAGATTTTAGTCTTCTATTTGATGAAGCCTGCAGGTTCCATCCAGTGTTTATAGGGCCTGTGAAGTGATGTGTTCAAATAATATCCTCCACATAAATAAAAAATATATCAAGCCTTGATGTGGAAAGGAGGGCCTTCCATCTGACATAATATTCAATCACATTTTATTTCTAGCAAATACACTCACATACTACTGAAGCCTCAGTGATATTACAAGAATTGAACATAAAAGGCCATAATGTAACCCTCCTAATAGGATTAGGGTCTGATATTCTTGAGATGACATTCATTTTCATCGCCAGTCGTAAATTCTTCCCTCGACTGCAAAGCAATTCTGGAAAAAGGATGCTCTTTTATCTATCATTCATGCCTTTAGCGGTCACAAAATTGGTTGAGCCGGCTTTATACTACAGAACATAGCATGGCCCAGTTTTTGTAAAAAGAAGATTTGCCACGGTGAGATATTTCACACCCTGGAGAGAGCTTTGAAGGGACCGGAGATGTTGGGTGGGGTCGCTGCATTATGCTGCTGCGCGGCTCTGAGTCAGGTGCGGCAGGCAGGCATCGACAAAATGCTGCTGTGTGTGGGAAATAAAAATCGCCTTTCTTGTCTTGATATGGATTCATTTACTGTTATTCGCTTGTTTTAGAGTGAATTAGAAAAATGCGTCACTGATACGAAACATTGAATCCAAACTAGCTCATATTGATCGGCACTCATTTTGATAAAGGATAAAGTAATAGGCACAAACGTGACTCTTAATACACAGATTGATAAAAGAGAAAAACGATTATTTCATTTTGCAACTTCATTTAAAAGGAGTGACTTGCAAAGGAGTTTTGGCCGCTCCCTATAATCATGCCTCTGCATCCTTTTGTGCCATGGGTGTCGCCACAGCATCAGCACCCTCAAACCTGCGAATATGCTCTTATTCTAGGAAAAAATGTCAGAAACTCACCGATTGCAGTCTTAGCCATTTCTGTAGGTTGGTAGTGCCTTGGGCGAGTCGACCGGAGGAGAGTGCGTCGGTTGCTGGATGCGGTATCTCGGTGTGAAGGGACTGCTGGTAAGGCACTGAGTCAGCAAAGAGAGGGACTGCCGGTGCGCCTGGTGGTCTGTTAGGAGCTGCGTCAAGTCGGCGGGCAATAACTAAAACAAAACCGGAAATGAGTAGAAGAAGCTTTCAAAATAAAAGACTTGAAACCCACACCATCATTGAATATGGATTGACAGTTTCCTGTCGATAATATGAACATATAATGATTTCAATCTTAGGCAATTAGTCAATTCATAGACCATTATATCTTAATGTGCAGCTATTTCATCATCATTTCCGTTTTTAGGCAAAAATTAAAAACGATTTCCTCGTTTCATCTATGTGAGAAATTGATATTTTGTATGTCACCGTAACTGACAAATGGAATCAAATGTTGGTTTCAGATGTAATGTGTTGCAAGGGGGCATGTGGGGAGGAGCAAACAGTCTGTATTTTACTAGCACCTTTTTAAGTATTATATATAGAGAGCTATTTAAACGTAGGCTAGTTTTATTTAGCTTTGATATCCTTCAAGATACATTCCATCTTTGCACATGCGCATTTCCAGCTCGATTGTCAATGAAATAGCACTTTTTTGTTTTGTAGTAGGCCTACAATAATAAAGCTGACCAACAAATTGTGATTCAAACATGAGGTCTACATTAAAATGCGACATATCTTAACATGCTTTATTTTGAAATTCTCAACAGGAACTGTCAACATATAATCTGATTGGCTTGACACTGGGTCAGTCATGAGCGTTTATGTGCCACCTAGAGCATATTAGCTACCATACTCCCTTGACGCGCCCCTCCTAGCCAAAGGCCTGACAAATCCAATGTCCCATTGAAATGGAGAGTGCAGGTCCTCAGCAGTGTGGGTGTTTCCCTCTTTGTTTCTGTGGTGATGGGAAGATCAGCTAAAAGCTCTGTCCATTGTGCTAAAAGATAAAAAAAAAAAAAAATGCGACTTTTCACATTAACATTTAATCACACATTGTTTATTTTAAAACATGTTCATTTATATTTGATGTGAGGCTTTGCAAAGTGGTGCAAATCAAGAGAATCAGGTTGGTACAGAATTACAGTTTTAATATGTAATGACACATACAGCCTAAATCTTATATAATCCATGCAAACTGCAAAATCATACCAATTTTTATCTAAATGCAGATCACACTAACGATCAAATCGTAACCTACCAAATAAATGGGTGAAATCATGAAAACATGTCACTAGGTGGCAGCAAATCTCAGGTTATATGAGCCAGAGGAATGCATGGCTCTATGGAAAAAAACTCTAACAAAGCATTGCTTCAATCATTATAGGCTATACCCTGCAGACAAAGCTCCATTCAAACAGACATTCAGCAAGACAGACTTTAATTCACATTTATTTTCGTGGTTGACGCCATAGTGTGTTTTTATTGAGAACTGAATCTTTGCATGATAGACTGGGGAGAAAACACAAAGCTCCACCAGAGTGAATACCAACTCCAACGGCATGTTCCTTATCAAACGGTGTGTTTGAATAGATAACAAAGCAGCTCGTATAGGCAACTGACTTTAAAAAAACGATACACTAGTGATTAACCAGAAAATAGTTTTAGTTGTGGATTTTAAATAACATACACCTGACATCAAGTTGAGGAACAAGAAAAAAAAAACACAACTTGCTTAACAAAAGACAACCAAGAACCAGATTAGGCTGTGCACAAATAGATACAGAAGAATACAAATAGTGCAGGTTAACAAACGAAAATAAAATACAGTACAGTAAGAGCAGAAGATAAAAAAAACTCTTAAGAGAATCCTATTTATTTTTGGGGAAATTCAGTGACACACCTGTGTGACCGCATCACATATCAATGCGCTAACCAGATGCTAGTTATGCGTGTGCCATGGTATCCTCTGTCTCAATGGCTGTCAATGTTTGAAGTAGCTAATTTAATACACATTAGCGTTTTCTACAGGTTGTTTGATTATAATGAATTATAATATGAATGTAAGAGAGCTGGACAACCCTCGGTCTGTCAGTGGGTGGTGCCTCCATCATTTGACGGTTGAGGAGGAGCTATCTGCAGATGTTATGGACTAACTAGCAGAAGTTAAAATGCGGCACATGAGTTGATGCTTGCTCGACTGAAGACACGGCGCAACATAGGTAACTAGTTCCTTATATCCATGTTTTTTGTGTGGTGTGTGGAGGGGTTACTTATTTCCTCGACTAAACTGTCTGAAAATGATGTAGGTAAATCACATAGTGAGCTAACATGACATCACAAACTAGCATCAATGTATTGCATCAGTTAGGTGGTATGTCAGCTAGCTCTGTTAGCTTTGTTAGCTCTGTCACACAGCGGATGGATACATTTTAAAGGGATACCGGTGCTAGCTGATGAAGGCTGTTGACTGTCCGCTCACCATCGTCTGCCTCAAGCCGGTGCTAACGAGGCTAATCATTGACAGTAAGCGAAAATGTGTGTGTCTTGGAGCGGAATAACAGGAGTATGTGTTTTGGTAACTGGAAACTATAGACGTATCTAGATTGATGAGCGTTAAGATAAAAAAAAAGTACGGCACACACATGCAGTTTATTTTGAGACAATGTGACCGCCACAAAGTCCGTGGCCACGTTTTACATCCCCATGCTGTCTGACTGTTAGGTTATAAACTTTGACCCTACTTGTGAAAGGAAGCTGTTTTCTTATTGTGTTTTAGCTTTATTCAAGCGTGATAATAACTTAGTGATAGTTAAATTAACTCACCCACGAGTTTCTTTGTGGACAGGGGGAAAATAAAAAGCAAATGTAGTTGTTAATGTGGACAAATGAATCACTCGCTCTGTTTTTACTGTTTGTTTGTAAACCAGTGGCACTTAACTGCAGCAGCCATATTGCTTCAACCATGCTGAATAGATGCTAATGGACACATGACCCCTTTACTGCTATGTTTTATCTAGTGTTTGTACAGGAAACAGGGACAGACAGAATTAGCAGTTTTGTAATATACATATTTGGATATTGTTAGTTGTTTTTTTAAAACACATTTAGGATGGTAAACCTCAGCTCCTTTTTTAACAAAAAACTTTGGCCAAAATGTAAGGACACTTAGTTGAAAAATAGTTGTACATTGATACCAAGTAGAAAAGTCACTGTAGTTTTTTCTCTCTCTGGCACCAGAGTGTGTAAAAATGTGGTTTCTGGGGCATAAATCTTGGCCTAGTTTTATTTCCTGTTCATCAGGGGGCGTGTTGAGTTTTGTCAGTGTGATTTGTTTGTTTCTATGTTTGTCTTTCAAACATGGAAAAAGCATGTGTGGTGGGTGGGAAGTGACGGTGTAGACTGAGGTTGTTGCAGAATGTAGTGTATGTGTATTTATCACATACATTCTTGCAAGCTCAGCAGACCAAATCTCTAGGTGGCTTTGCTTGCATACTGTACGATTGGATCCTGGCCAGGTGGAAACTCAAGTCTCTGCAGTTTTTTTTCTGTACATTCTTTAAAAAAAAAGTACATGGAAAAAAAAACCTGGAGTGTTGAATACAAAGGATCAAATATCATTATCATTATTCAAATGCAAATCATGTGATCGAACAAGGTGTACATTATGTTGTCATTTTTCATGTACAACCTCTTTAAAACGGCACTATCAATTATGCAATTTCATAGAATCACTGGACTACATATCGCATACAAATATGTCTTGCCAGGCTTCATGTAATGCGGTTGAATTTGGCCAGCCAGTGTTTAGATCAATCAGCTTTCTGTGAGAAGCTACTGGCAGCTATGGCGTGGATTAGATGTGTACGAGTCGACTGTTTTTACAAATCAAAAATGGTGGCCCCTAAAGAGGTATTGGATGCTGGAATAACATCAGGTAACTGAACCATTACATTAGGTTTTGCTATTCATCTAGATTTAAAATAAACATCAATAGCCCCCCCTTTAATCTAGCTTGTTCATAATAAGGGCCTCAATATTTTTGGCATTGCTTATGACACAGCTGTTTTAGAAGATAATCCATTTCAACGACAGTTCAGTCAGGGTGGTTTTGGTTAATGTCTGCTTATATGCAAAGCATAAATCTGGATAGGCATTCATTTAATCCATTCACTCACTCATTTATTTACTCATCTGCAGTTACCTACTGGCCCCAAGTGTCCATTAGGAGTAATATACCAATGATGGGTCAGAATCACTTACTGTCTCCATCTCCTCTTGGCACATTTTCTTAGATGAGCAAAGCACTTCTGTGACATTGCGTTTCCTTTTTTTCCTCGCAGATTATCCCAATGGAGAATTAATCTGTGGATTCAACAATGGTTCTTTGAAACAGGCAGTCTTAGCTTTCCAGTCACACTCCCACCTCCCTCTTTCTTCTCTTGGTGTACAGCCCTCTTTTCATTTTGACCAGTATTTTATTGTTCTGCAATTTCAACCAGTCTCAGTTTACGCTGCTGGTAGAACGTCTTTGTCACTCCCAGTCACGTCTCTGTTAACTACTCTTGAGTCGAGGCTGAAGGCTGTAAATCCTCCACAATGGTTGCTGAGGGGGACTCGGCGTCTCAGGGCAGCGGCGTGCGGCTGAAGCAGGAGATTTCCCTCCTCCATGGGGTCTGTCTCATAGTGGGAAATATGATCGGATCCGGTATCTTCGTATCACCTAAGGTAAGAAACTCTGCTTTGTTACTACAATCAGTCTGCATTGATTTAAATATATTTTTGCAAAGACAAAATAGGAATAGTTTTTAACTCTTCGTCTTTTTAAAAGGCATTCTGTAATTTAAACATTATTGAATCTGAAATTAGTATTTAGTGAATAACTTTGAGAACATGGGGTTTTGGGTTATCTTGAAACCAGAAGTGAGACAATCTGATGTTTTATTTAAATCTTCATGGTCTCTTTTTTGATAAGTGATAGTTTCTTATGTGCTCACTGTGATTTTCCATCCTGCAGGGGGTTCTTAAATATACAGGCTCATATGGCCTGTCCCTGGTGGTGTGGGCCATTGGAGGGATATTTTCTGTGTTTGGAGCGTTATGCTATGCTGAGCTAGGAACTACTATCCGTAAATCTGGAGCGTCCTACGCCTATATCCTGGAGGCCTTTGGAGGCTTATTGGCTTTTATACGGTATGGAGTTGTTTTAATCTCCGTTTGCACACAGTTTACTTGAACTCGTTTCCTTTGTTTGAATGTTTTTTGGACATGGACATGGAAGTTAGTCTCAAACTAAAGCACTCGTCAATTCCAACAACTAGTGAACTTTACTAAAGCCATGTTGGTTATGTAAGCCTTTTTATGATTAAGACCTATCCATTCTGCTGCAGACTGTGGACGTCGCTGTTGATAGTGGAGCCAGCCTGTCAGGCGGTGATCGCCCTGACCTTCGCCAACTACTTGGTCCAGCCCTTCTACCCCTCCTGCCCCTCCCCGTATGTCGCTGTCCGCCTCATGGCTGCTGCCATCATAGGTCAGGCTCTCCATGTACTTCACACAAGTGCATGCCATATGTAACCTCTTGTATGTGTTTTAACATTAGTGGTGAAAGGGCACGGGTTACATGGGTGAGTCTGCTGTGGGTTTGACCCCTATGTTGTATATTGTTATTTACAGTATCCATAGTGAGAGGAGGGTCACTGTGGAGCTATTTTTGCAGGAAGGGTTGACTAGAATCTCTCTTGCACTCCAGCATTAACAACATTCATCTTCAAATGTGATATTTACCCACAGCATCACTTTAAAAGGCTGAGTTAATGTGCAACTGTTAAGTCCAGTATTGTTGTTGTCTTAAAGTTTTCAAGAAAAACACAGGATCAAATGAATCTTAATTTAGGTCTTAGGACAGTATTCAACATGTTTCTTTTGCACCCTGCACTTCAGCATTCTTTTGCATTTACGGTTTCATTTAATTTGCGTTTTTCCTCTTAGCTGTTGATAGTATATGTTAACCATTTATGCAAGTCCCTTTTTAAGTCATTTGCAAACTGTATGTTTTAAGGGTGGGTTTAGGAGAAGCTTTAATAGCTGCAAAGTAAAACACTATTTTCTAAACATAGCAGCTTAATCTGTTTTTATTGCATTTATGGGGATATGTCTGTAACTACACTTAATACCTGTCAGTGTCCCCTCTCACTCTGCCTTGAGTCTGCTGTGCTTAGTGAATGGCATCCCTTAAGCTTTGTTCAGCCTTGAGCCTGTTGGGTTTGTTTGGATAGGATCTAAAGTAATGTGCCAAGTCTGTTGTACTGACTGATCTCTGAGGAAGGAACTGTGTGACGGGGCCTCACACTCTGTAATCAACAGGACGATCTGCCATCCAGCTTGAAGGAGGAAATCCTGTTACTAGTTCCTGAACGTCCACAACACCTTGTGTCGGTGCTCCTCCTTCCACAAATATAGAGTGCAAAACTGAATTTTAAAGTTAATACATTAAATTACAAATCCCCCTATCCACCAATTCACAAATATTCAGTTCAATTAATTGAAAATAAATAAATCAAGCAGATTTCTCCAGAGCTTCTTGACTTTTAATTAGAATTCCTGCTAACGTTCTCCTCTCTGCTTGTGACCACCATTCAGTGTAAAAACCATGTTGAGTTTATATTTGATAAGTGCTCCTGTCTTCTTTGCCTTTATTAGGTCTGCTGACTTTCGTGAACTGTATGAAAGTGAAATGGGGAGCTATTCTTCAGGTCATCTCCACCGTAGCAAAGGTCCTAGCTCTCATCGTCATCATCATTACTGGCATGATTAAGCTTGGACAAGGTAGGATGTCCGAGAAAATCTGTTTCATTGAATCCATTTAGGCAATGCTAGAGATGGTTTAATACTTAAAATCAGTTCAAATCAATTTCTTAGAAACGGTAAAAAGGTGATTATTGCTCTACCTCTGCTCCAATTTTGATACGATTTGTGATTTTGACATTTGAACAGCTCACTCAAAACCCTACCTATATTAGAAGCTGGATTAAATATTCATGAACAATTGAGTCGAGATAAAAGCAAATCATGTTAACTCCTCTTTACATGTTGCTGTAGGTTTCCACCAGAACTTTGAGGACTCCTTCAAAGGCTCCAAGCTGGACCCCGGTAACATGGCCTTGGCCCTCTACGCAGCCCTGTACTCCTACTCAGGTTGGGACACGCTCAACTTCATCACAGAGGAGATTAAAAACCCAGAAAGGTACGAGCTCTGGCATTTCAGATTTTTCTTTTTTTACAACAAGCGTGACTTGATTTTAATTCCTGATCGAATTAATTTTGCTTAGTTTAACTTGAGCTACTGTAAATCTAGTATTTCATAAATCTGATTTCAAAAAAAAAAAAACAGGTCATTATGCGCTCACTTTACACCACAGTAACAGACTGACAGATACACATATTTGTATAATCTGGATTCTCTAAGCCTTCAGTAATACTGTTTTTTGTGTGTTCTAGCGATTACCTTCCCCCTGGTATTTGTCAATAAATATAAGCGTTGAGGTAATGATATCACTTATTTCATTTTTAGGAATCTGCCTTTGTCCATTGCTATTTCCATGCCCATTGTCACTGTGATCTACATCTTGACCAACATCGCTTACTACGTGGTGATGGATGCAGACCAAGTGCTCACCAGTGAAGCTGTTGCTGTGGTGAGTCTTTTTTCTTCTGCACAAAAGAGGCTGTATGTGAGCAGTAACCAAATCTGACCATGTGAATGCTAATCTCTACCTTTAAACCTAAAGGACCTAAGTGACAGCATCCTCTCAGCCCTGTAGAGGCAGCAGGTTTAGATATCTCCTTCCTCTCCTCTCCTGTCTTCTCTTCAGTCTGGCTGGCAGCCACTGGCTCTCCAGTCTGCTTCAGCTCTCAGTTGGTTATCTGTTGTAGTCATGATGATGGCAGAAACCTCATTTAGCTAAAGAGGTTAGCGCCCCACACAGGAACATGGGGAAGCTGATGATGTGATTAGTGCCTCGGAGGAGGAAGAGTTGTATTAGTATTTGATCAACTAAGTCTGTTCCAACAAGCCATGGGCTGTTCGCTCTATAGAATCAAAGCTGAAAGAAAAACACATATCTTTCTTATGTTTCCAAAACCAGATTTGTCCGATATTAGAGAGGGGTGAGTTAATTCACTACTCAACACCACACTGGAAGTTAATTATATTTGAACGTAAATCCTGTTTGGCACAAGCATTTTGAAGCTCAACAAGAGAAGTGTTTGCAATCAAAAAAGCTTTTGTTGAGTTTTCAGAGTGTGTTTTAAGTTCAATTACAAGATATCATATTGCTGTTGAGTTGCACTTTTATTAAGCTCTTACCCAGAAATGAAGCCAGGACTTCTCATCTTGTGCAGAATAGCGTAAGTAATATTTATTTTTCATTTGAAAAAGCACAGATTCTCACATGCATCCAACAATCTATTTTACAGCTGGTATAATTGATGGTATTGACTGGGTTGCTGCATTAGGAGTCTTTTGTTATTGTCTTGTACAGGGTGTCCGCGGGGTCTTAAAAAGTATTAAAAGTTGATAAATCAATTTAGCGAAAATTAAGGCTATTAAAAAGTATTAAACGGCATTTTCCAAGGTATTAAGAAGGTTCACAGCAACGACAACATGAAACACCCTTTAATTTACTGAAACGACATGTCGGGAAACCCCACAAGGCGGCCCCATGCATAGCGCGCCGTAAAATGCTGCTTATTATTTTAAGTTTCGTTGCTTTGCTCCGCTCTGTGTGGGGGGGGGGGGGAAACTAAACGACTACGGTAACGGGTCCCAAGGTGGGTAGACCGGCATACGCAACGCTCTGGGGGTCCAACGGCTCCGTGTGTAAGCCCTATATGATCATTTTCTGATAACGATGAAATAGCCCGCTTCCCTCTCCCCACGTCTCCTGCTGCTGCTGGGCTGTCAGAAGAGGGGGAGGAAAAGAGAGGCAGTCACCGTTTATTAAATATTATTATATTATTATACAGAGAACAGAGTCGTTATCAATTTGTTTTAAAGCTCAATAAATAACAAAGAAGACCTCTGACCGGCACTTTCCTAATTTTATACGGAAGATTTAAACTTTAACGGACATGTTGACCGGCGGAACATTTTTTTTACGGAAACTCTCGGTCCCCTCGTTCCTTGGAAGAGGTGGGTGTTTTTCATCTGCTGGTGGACTACCTGAGAGATAGAGCAGGAGAACACGCCGTCCACCGCGGAGAATAAACAGAAGGGCAACCATGGCAACCATGCTCCGGGGTCTTCTTCGCTGCTTTTGGTGTATTTCGGGCGGCAGCAGCGCCACTTACAGGCCTGACATATGTACTACATCGTTTCCAGCATTTGCAGCGGTCTAGTGTGAACGGACAAGTTAATGAATCGAATGCGTGTGAACGGAAGACTTTTTTGCGCTTGCGTATGCGTTTTACCGTATGCCTCCTTGTGGGATTTTTAGTACTTGTCCTGCAGACAAAATTCAGCCACTTTTAATCTTTTTAGTTTGGGTCTAAGCCAAACTATATCCGGTCACAGAGATCTGCTATTTTAAAGTAAAGTCAACACATATAGACCCTAAATATAGTCTATATTAAGAACGAGAAAAGTCTTAACATATATATCCTTTTTTGTCAACATATGACAAATGTGTGAGGGTGATGACGTCAGAGCATCGTCCTATGTGCCAGGGCTTAGCCCCGGACAGCCCCAGCCCAATTTAACCCCTGGGTATTTGTGAGGGAGCTCCTATATGGCATTACCCCGCTGAAGCTCACCAAAGTTTAACATATTTCATAGTTCAAAGTTTTGTCAATTGTTTTGTTTATTGGTCAAATACTGGTTTCTAATGGTTTCTGAGGAGTTTTACTGGAATGAAAGAGCACAGAGTACAGAAGCAACAAAGCAGCATACTGCATTAAACCTGACCTTCACAGAGAGGTTGAAGTTCATGTGGAGAGAAGGCTTCAGTAGTCTGTCTGCACTCTGTTTAGTTTTGCTATCTTAAAATCAATATAGTAAATGTGAGGTAAAGTGTGTTGCCAATGTAACCGGTTAGAACTCAAAGTTGCGATGAGGTCTTAAAATGTATGGAAAGGGTCTTAAAAAAGGTCTTAAAAGGTATTAAATTTGACTTCAGGATTCCTGCATATACCCTGTTGTAGAAAACTGTAGGAAATCAAAAGCAGAGTGCGAGTGTTATTTTTTAGGAACCACACCGACCTTCAACTACACCCGGTGATGTTAACGTATTAGGATCACTGAGTTAAAGATACATTTAAATGATTTCCACATTGTAATTAAACCTACATTTTGAGCTGAGTTTCACAGATTCAAATACATATAACAAAGTCGCACTATTACATCCATGAGGGCAGTGAGAAACTGTTGGATGTCTCCTCAGACGTTTGCTGACGAGGTGCTGGGCTGGGGTCGATGGATGATCCCGCTCTCTGTGGCCATTTCCTGCTACGGAGGCCTCAACTCCTCCATCATCGCTGCCTCCAGGTCAGTACAGACATCTCATTACTGCCTGTAAGGTTTTGAATGTTAAACTGGAGGAAACCCAGTATGTGTAACACCTTTTTGTTTCCCCTGCAGGTTGTTTTTCGTCGGATCCAGAGAAGGTCACCTACCTAATGTGCTGTGCATGATCCACATCAAGCGTTTCACACCAATCCCTGCTCTGCTTTTCAATGTCAGTATCACACATGGTTTCTTATTACATTTTATTCTTGCTTGTTTTGATTCATTTTGGATGTCCCTGATGCGTTCTTTACCAAATTGTGTGTTTGATCTTCTGTTTTCAGGGTGGCATGTCTCTGTTATACCTGTCCGTGCCTGACGTTTTCCAGTTGATCAACTACTTCAGTTTCAACTACTGGTTGTTCATCGGCCTGTCGATAGCCAGCCAGATCTACCTCCGCATTAAATTTCCCGATATGCGAAGACCTGTTAAGGTACATAATCATTTTGACTCCACCTCCCAGGCACACCTTAAACATGCAGAGATGAGAAGTTGAACATGTAATGTAAACTCGGTGACACAGAAACAAGTACAGAATCAGAAATGTTAGGGACAGATCTGAGGTAATGCAGTTTATACCACATGTTATTGTTGTGAGTCATATTTCTGTAGTTATTTTTAATATCAATATACTCACATTTTTCTAGATTCATCAATGAATTGCTTGGTCTATAAAATGACATAAAATACTGGAAAAAATGTCCATCCCGGTTTCTTAAAGTCCAAGGTGATGTCCTTAAATATTTTTTTCTTAATCCAAAACCCAAAGATATTTAGTTTGATATGTTAAAAAGAGAAATACAGGACATCTACATCTTGAGAACAGCATTCACCAGCTGAAAAGACTCTTGACACCTTGAGAAATGTAACGAGGTCTTTCCCCTTTGCCTTAATCCTGTTAAAGAGATGCATGCTGGGTAAACAGAGCAACCCCTGGCCAAATGTATCATATAATGACATCACTTAAAAATCCTCAGTCTCCTGGTTATTTCTCCATCAAATCATTGACCGTCAACAACCTTCAATAGAACTGAACAGGAAACGATATACACGGCATAACATAAACAAACATCAGATAAAAAGTAAGAAGATACCAAAAGCTGCAATCTGATAGTAGGTGCTATCTTTACTTATTCAAGCCTTACAGACCTTTATTTACGTTTGTTTACCCATCAACACTACCCTCAGACGTGGCTTTGAGTTAGGACTATCCTAAAAGCCAATTATGTTTGGAATTCACTTAAGTTTATTTGGTTATCTTAGTAAACATCAAAATGACTGCACTGCATATTGCCTTAGCAGTTAAGGGTGATTACAGCCACAATCATATCATCAGAGGAATATTGTTTGAACTAATTGTATTTGTCAATGTAATTGTTTTTAATCATTCCGTTTCTCTCCACCCAACCTTTTTCATACCCTTCATTCCTCGTTTTTCTGCTTCCTCATTCTTTCTTTGCTCTTGTCTCCCTGCAGCTGTCTTTGTTCTTCCCCATCGTGTATTGCTTGTGCAGCGTTTTCCTGGTAGTTGTTCCCCTCTACAGCGACACCATCAACTCTCTGGTGGGGATTTCTGTGGCCTTGTCTGGTGTACCTGTGTACTACTTCTGCATCTACCTGCCAGCCAGCTCCAGACCAGCCTTCCTCAATACAATGCTTGGTAAGAAGCTTGGTGATTAATTAGGCTCTGACTAACGACACAGTTGGGCCAAATGACCCTTTTTGAATTGTGTTTTTATTATTGGTTTGACATTTTATGAACAAGGATCATGCTTAAAATACATTTGTCTCAAAAAAAAGAAAGGATTATTTTGACTATAAGCTCATTTCTATCTGCAGTCCCTGGGCAGGAACACTGAGAGCAATCACAGTCCAATGCATTTCATCACACTTAACAATTATAAAGACAAATCAAACACACATCAACATATGAATAACTGCACATTCATCCAGTACAATACAATCAATTTCAATGTTCAGAAACAAAACTATATTGTACTGAATTAATATTGAATTTAAAACAGATAAGATGGATTGCTTTTTGAAAGGTCCGATTACAATTTATGTAGGTCGATGGTAATTTATTTTACCCATAATACACACTCAATCATGATGGGGTGGACATTTTTAAAGATGAGAACTCAATGCTCTCTGGTAGACAAACTGAGTAAGCTGTAAGAGACATTTTCTAAATCACCTCCACCTTTATTTGACATTCTGTACTGCAATGTCTTAATTATCGACCCAAAGAACATACTGGCAAAGAGACATCTGCAGAAAGCCTGTCTGCTTAATAACATTTAAGATGTGAAATGTCCGTGACTTTGGTTTTGTGATATAATTTATGAATAACCTCTTTAAGTATCTTACTTAACTGACTGTGATGTGAGTTGCATGTAGATCAGCTACTGCTGGGACATGAGAAAATGAGAACTCCTGGTCTTAGAGTTAATAACTATGGAGTGATTGGGATTAGTGTCTCAAAGTTCAGCGTTATGTCGCGCCCACATTCTGTAAAAGGCTCTTGATTGCTAAAAACCCCTACGGTTGAAGAATAACCTCCTAATTATTATTTTAAACCTACATATTTTAAAGCCTTAAGTACTTAATGTATTACTATTGTTGTCCTTTGATGTGTTTCTTAAGATCTTTTGAGTGAAACCCTTGATTTTTTTTTTTTCTTTCTGTCACTGCAGATAGGATCTCTCTGTACACCCAGAAACTGTGCATGTGCTGTGTGGCTTCGCCTGATATCGACCTGGACAATATAGACCAGGAGAAGATTGAATGATGGAGCAACAAAGGCCTTGTGTGGAATGGAATAACAAGAATGAACACAAAGGAAAGCTTTGAGCTGTATAACTTGATGAAGAAGAAACGGGAGAGGTGAGCTGTACACATATCTTCTCCTCTTCTCTCACATTTGAGCCATATCGTAAAAGGACCAGGAGTGGATAAGTACACCACCCCCCACCGCCCCCCAAAACACACTCATACAGATTTAACTCACTCAGTGAAACTTGAGCACATTCACATGCTGTACGCAGTGCCGTGTTGGCCGTGAAGTTCCAGTTCCCTCCACACATGTGCCCATAAACTGCAACTCACACACACACACACACACACACACACACACACACACACACAAGCTGACCGAAGCCTCAGGGTGATGCTGCGACAAATGGAAATGAACAACCTGATCCAGGAGGAATCGACTCAGCAAACATGCCTGAGGTGATTTATTCACAAACAGGAGGCTGCTGAGGAAAAAAGACACGGTGGAAGTGAAAAGGACCTTACATGCGTTTCATCTCGTGTTAAGGAAGTGAGTTACTATAGCACATGTGAACGGGCAAAAGATAGGCCTCAATGGTTCGAATCTTGGTACCTTTTTAAAATAATACTTCACCACCAAAATGACCATCTGTATATTTATTAATAACCCTTTTACCTTTGACTCGTGAAGGAAACATTGTGTTTCTCACACATCTCTCCTGATATTTTAAGCCTAAGTGTGGGAAGTAATAAGCTAAAAGCTAGAATAATAAAGTCTGTTTGATAGTTCTGCACGAGGTGGTTGAGAGTATAACTGATTTAGTTAGGCTGTTTTTAAACGCAGATCCCATTTACTTATATTCACCATGAATTTTCTCATTTGGGATTCTTTGTTAGACATTGGATTATTTCAGAAAATGTTGCTTTTCTTACATATTTCTAAGTAACATTTTGTGAGCAAAATTCTCCTTTATTAAATGAACACTTCGCAAATATCACAGGATAGTTCATCCAAAGGTTGAATTCCCCTTCAATCCTTTTAGTTCCCTTAATGTTATAAAATGAAGAATGATCAAGTAATTTAAAGCCGAAAACAATGATTATAAGAAGTTGAACAATTATTACATGCAACCCCTCATCTACCAACTCAATGATGTAGCTCTGGTTTTTCATTGGTTTGCATCAACATCACACCGGTCACCTGCCAGTGTGTGTGGTACTGGTAAACATATTCCTGTTGGGAAAGTTGTTTTTTTTGCAAGCTTGTATACACCCCGGACAGATAACGTCCAACAGCATTGTGTTTTGTTGACAGACCTCTAAATACTGCAGTGAATTTGCACATTTATGTTTATTGTACAACCTCTTTGGTCATAGGAAAGCTTTACTCTGATCTATTTCCAACCAAATGAAGATGGTTAGTAATAATTAGTTCAGAAAAAGGACATTATTTACAAAAGCTTTTATTTCTTGCAGTTCGAACAAGCTTGTCATAAATCTGTCACTATGTGCATCCTGCTTTTTGTAATGTTTGATGTTTTCTTCTGTGACCTTCATCTTCGAATGCATCTTCAGGGCTATACTTGATTTCTGGTGCCTCCTAGTGGTAGCTGATATAACCTTCCAGGGACCAGCTTTAATTGTGTCGTTCAAAAGTCCATCTTGCATGTTTTTGTTATTGCTGTTAGTCATCTTGTTCTCTCTTTTCATACAAACACACCCTGGTAAGAGTAATGCAACTTTAGTGTTATGGGTATATAAAAAGAAGGTTTGTAAATATTTCACAGGTGAGATTTCTCGTTAGGTGCCTCTGGGTAATTGGCAAACAAACCACGCTGTTGTGCACACGTTGATACTTATGACCTTTCTCTTTTTTCCCACTGGTTTTAAAGAGTTTGTATCACAGATGAGATATTTTATTTTAATTATGCCTTGTGAATCTATCACCAACTTGGACCATGTATCCACCGCGCACAGCCAAAGCTCTTAAACAGGCCGGTCGCTTTCTGCTCTCAGAGCCAGTAGCAAAATGTCTCTGCTTTGTAGTGAAGAATATATAGATGTAGGTGGTTGAATTAGAGGCAGAAACACGTGTTTTGTTTGTACTGTAGTTCTTATAAACGCTCTGTGCCTTCTGTAAGTGCGGTCTGCCAAAGACCCAGTCTACTTTTGATATTTTCATGTATCTCCTGTGTCTTAAGCACAATCCTATTTTTTCATTTCTGTAGGATTTGCCAAATGTTCTTCAGGTAGTAGAGCAGCTTCAAATGTTGTAGTCAAGGTAAAGGTCTGTAAATTCTCAGCTGGGATTAGTAATCAGGCTTTAGATTGAACAATGTATTGTGTCTTCACTTCCTCATCACCAGCCAACAGAAGCACACGCACATATGTTAAATGTTGCTTTCTCCGGGGTCGCTGTCATCATTTAAACCAAACTACTACTTGTGTAGGTTGTTAAGAAGGAAACCACATGTCTGCAGTAAATACAGAATCTTTTCAATGTGATCCAATGCATAGTGTCATGTTGAGAACCGATCTACTCGCACATCACAGGACTTGAATGTTGAAATATATTTGATGTTTCATCTGGTACCAAATACAGAATGGGTGTTTTCCAGTACTGTTTGACAAAGTTGTTATTTGTCTTAGTAGAAGTATGTCTTAAGTGCTTGCCATGTTGACTGTTTTTATTTATTATATTCAGAACATGGGCAAACCAAATGGCAAGAGATGCATTTCAGTTGAGGAATCCTTGTTTGACAGGGTTTGTTGTCTGAGACAGGAAGGAGCTGTGTTTTATTTGAATAAAGGCAAGTACAGAATGTGCGTTTCAGTCTCTGTTCCTGTCCACTGAGCTCTACCTGGAGTGGAAACAAAGGATATCTTAAAGGCCGCGGCTCACAGCCACTAGAGGTCATGGTCTCGTAACACTTCATGAAGTCTCGCCAAACTGTAGTGTGTGATCTTTAACAGTTGATTTAGCGCGACATACTTTTAATGTTTTTGTAAATGGGTTCATGTCAACTGCATTGAAGCGTTTATCCAAAGTTATCTTTAGGTTTAACAATGTATTTCTATATTCCCTTTTTTATTATCTTATTTCATAGCAAACGGCAAATCTGTGTTGTGAACAAATACTTTCAATATTTTACTTCAACACTAATTTGGAGCTTTTCCTGAAAACATTAAAAAAAACAATTATTTTACATATTTGTAGAGAACTTTTAAAATCAAGTTATAAAGGACTTTGCAAAAAACTAGAAATTAAAAGATAATAAAATAGACGAGATACACTGATCTAAGGTGTAATTTTCTAGAAAGCAGTGAAAATAAGGGAAAACATTTCTGAAAAGAAAAAAAAACTAAACACCTACATGGTGTAGATTTACGAGTACATTTAGAAGGCTACAGCGCCACATTTACACTGATCATGTGTATTTCTGAATGTACACACAAACTGTCCCCATGGTGTCTTTGACTGACCGTCCTCCCTCCAGCCTCCTCAGGTGGCCGGCCAAGCCCCACCTCTCCTCTACCTCTCCTCCACCTCCTCTCCTCCCCCCGGGCCCGCTGCAGAGGCATCACATTTCAACACGGTGTGCACTCTGCGCCTCAGATGCTGCCCGTCGATAGGTGAGTGTTCCTGGGGAGAGTCCTGCGCCTGTCCCTCCCCAACACTGAGGGAGTTGGGTTCCACTGAGTCATGAATAAAAGATGAAATGCAGCCGAGCTCCACAACAGCTACGGTAACAGCTCTCTGCCACAGAGTGCAGCACAAAGTGAGTTTCTGGCTTTAAAAAGTCCAGGCTGCTCAGTTGGTACTCGGCTCCACTAATGCTCTGCAGGGCCTCTCTGTCTTTGTGGTGGGCAGAAGCACCGGGGGGGCTGTTCCCTGATGGGTGAGGGGCCGGCACACTGTGGCACCAGCTTGGCATCATGGAGCTGCCCCGACGGCTGAACTGGATACGAAACCGACCCTGGAGGCCTCATGTCTGCCGCAGGGAGTTCAACCGTAAGTGTGGATTGAATTAGAGGATTATGAACTTCGTATGTTGGCTTTTAGTGATTCTTCCAAATTGTCTGTCTTTCCTGGGTCTACCTTAATTGCCTCAGGTGTGTTCTGAAACAGAAGCTTCCAGGGAACTTTCTAGTGACTCCTGCGGACCGTGTGTTGCTTTTGTTCTGAAATCCTCATGTGATTCATGCTTAGGATGCTAGTTACTGTTTTCATAGGTACTTGATGCATTTAAATAAACAGCAGTATCCTCAGGATTTGCATTTTAAATGAGTAATGTACCTCTGCAATTAGTACTCTCTCTTTTTCCACCAATCAGGCGCCATTAACATCCCCCACTGTGGACTGGGTGTCAGACAAGGAGGATGTTTAGTCTGGCATTGTGTGGTTATTTCTTAGTTTTGGAATAACATTTGAAACCAGGCTCAAGTAACATAAACTACCTCTTATAGCATTAATCAGAAATCGGACATTCCTAGACCAGCGTCTATTTTGCAAACCAAGCATCACACCTAATTTAATGTGCAATAGCTGCCCACTGCTCCTACTAGTTAGGATGGGTTAAATGCAGAGAACACATTTCGCTGTGTGCTCTGCATGTGTGACCATTAAAGAGGGTTTCATCCCTCCGATGCTAGTATTACTGAAGCTCTTTTGTATGACTTACTTTTTTCCCATAAACAACAAGATGTGGTCAGCTGACTGCAGTCGATCAGCCTTCCTCAGTGAATGTTTAATTGAAATGGCATCTGTGTTGATTGTGTAGGATCAGATTGTAGGCAGAATGGATTACAGCCCTCATGCCTGAGCCCAGTGGGTCTACTGGTGTAATACGTGGATCTGGTGTATGCTAACAATCTGTCATTTCCTGAAGGAAAAAAGGAAATGTATGCATTTTTAAAGTTTTCTGCTGACAAACATGAGTGGATGCATACACACAGAACGGGCATATGTGCAGGGTTAAGTGCACACGCTGTGGTACATTAGGAGTGGATCGATTCAAACTGAGTGCACGCTGGATGCTGTTATGAGAATATTTTTAAAGCAGACGTGTTCACAGTGAGAGAGAACATGTTATTTCTCTGTGTGCAGTATTTCATCTCTGGGGATCAACTCGATGTTGTGTCACAAACCATTAAAGCTTAGTGTTTGGTGTAGGAGTGAATGCATGATGGACTT